ACCTCTGCCGTTGTCGCGACCTCTCAGCAAGCCCAGTCTGTAATTCCAGACAACGAGGGATTCAGTTCTGCGAGAGCCCCCTTCAAGGAACAAGTGTTGTTTGATACAGCCCTCAGTTTCTTCTTCAATAACAGATAGAAACCTGACGTGAACACCCAGAAACCGTAGAATTCCCGAGAACATCAGAATTATCCAGTTCTTGAATTGAGCAAAGGGTTCTTCCGATTGTCTGCTAATGGCCCTCAGACTAAGACATCAGCATCAGAACTGCATGGGCAGGTCTTCTTCCAAGCAGATAGCAATAAGCATGAGACATGACGTCAAGAAGTTTGGACATGTTTATGATACGGGCGTTCCAATACAGGCCTGCCGAAATACACTTTTACGCGGAACTAAGGTTTGTATTAGTGACCTTGCAATTACGAGACGTGCAAAAGTAAAAATGGTTGTAAGAAGTTAAGGTGAAAGATCTTGTCGCTGAAGTTTGCCTAAAAATGTTATTTTGGCGAGGAACCATTTAGTCACATTGAGAAAATCATCATCGGCTGTTTGCCCAAAAAATGCAAAATTACTTACTGCAAGTGATTACCTTATAATTATTAAACACATGTAGTAGCGTACATATCGAAACGGAAAAGAACGTTTAGGTGAACAACGAATCAAGAGTAAGAAGTAATTGTGACACAGCCTCACGAGCTCAAGCATGATTCAGCATTTCTAGAACCAGAAAAATGAAAAGGACTCCCACGCTATTTGTGTGCAGCATTGGGAAAAAATCACTCAAGAAGAGACAGGTCATTGGACTGGAAAAAGCAGTGATTGAGTACAACTGACAATACCATGATTAGTGTGAGGAAATATTGATACGCGCATGACTTTTTCGACACTTTCGTTTTTCCCATGCAAGGAGTATTGGATGGGCTGGAACAAAAGGTCATTAAATGGGGCAACGAAGTGGCGCCATGGCGAGGCGGAGAAAACTTTCCAGCTTGTCTGTTCTCTGCTGGAAACCCTTTCAACCTATAATCAAGCGGGTTCGCAGGGACCACGTTTTCTGTGTTAACTGGGCGCGGCACGCCCAATTTCATTCACGTTTGCTTTGCCATGCCAGTAGCAGGGACATGGGTAGCTCCTTGGTGGCTACACCAACATTCTGTCAGCTCGTGCATCCCTTAGAACGTGATGGTCCACCGCTTTGAATCGCCTGGAAGTTCTTATTTCTTCAGTTTGAAATCGCCGAAATCATTCATGGTAGCGTGTTTTCAATATGGCAGTCCTTTGAAGACGTTCCATAGAAACCGGAATATTTGGCGCCCGCTTCGCTCTAGCTTGAAGTCACGAGGCAAGCGCACGCCAGAGATTCTGTTCTCATCTGAAATCTAAAGTCAAAATGTAAGCAGCTAAATTCTGCGAAACATGCTCTTTCAAACAAATCACATTGGACAGTGGGAATGAGCCTCGTAGGAGAACAAGGAAACATAAAAGAGCGCGGCATCAATTATCTCTCAACCTAGTGCTATCACATTGAAAATTCACACCAGCCGACAAACGACTCAACTTCTTCGTCCACTTTTTTTCTGCGTTTCACCTTGGTGGAGGGATTACGAGGTCATATTTAGAAAAAGAGCACGCATGGGGTGCATATCGCATAGAGGTGGATGTCCTCTGCATTTCTAACGGATGTTATTCCTGGATGATAAGTAATTTCAGACGACACTGAACAAATAAATGTGCACGATCACGTTTTCTATCATGCAAAGGATGTTTCAAATGCTCCCATTTGCAAAATAGTCTATGGGCCAAAGCAATAACCTGTCAAAGAAAAGCAAGAGAGTAACACAAAATTCAGAAAAGTTTGAGCTGCGGTTTATCTGGGTTATCAACCACTCCATAACAATCCAATAAAATAACTGAAAGGAGTGGCAGGGCTGAATGTTGCAGTAAACCTGCTGGGTTTATCCACAGTTCCCATCTTATCCATGTTTCATCCGCTGCATTCCATTGACACTTCACACTATGATCCAAAGAGAGAGCGATAATGTTCGAAAACATCTATTTTCTGATTAGTTCCAACTAATATTTCAAAATTCTCAGAAACAAAACATCCTCAGTTGTGTCCTGAATGGCCTTTAATGATCCAAGTCTCATTATAGGTCATCCTTTCCAATTTCTCTTACTATACTAGGTTGGTGAGAAAGATATCGGCACTTTCTTCAGAGCGCAGAACAGATTCTTAAACAATGCCCATGATGCCTTATGTTAATAAAGGATAAGGACAGACTTCGCCGTTGATTCATACTTTTACCGGGACTGTAGGAGGGTGTTTTATAAATGCAATACATATGGCAGCGTTCAGAGTTCGCGATGATGCACGACGCGCTGTAACGCGCTGTAACGCGTTACAGTCGCAACAACGCCCAATCCTATAGACGCCAACGCAGCCGCAAAGGGCACTCGATCTGTGCCACCAGCGTCGCCCTAGCGGTCAGTGCCGATCCATATCCGAGCGCGTGTGTAGGCAACGCGTACCCTCCTGTTTCACCCCCCCCCCCATTTTTTCAACTCACACGCGGCGGAGATCGATTCTCGTCTGCGGCTGCTTTCGTGTCCATAGTCTTGGAGCCCTCTTGCAATTGTAGCGCGCCACAGCGCGTTACAGCGCTTCGACGCGCGCCATCGCGAAGTGTGAACGTTGCCAATCATGTTGTATTTGTAAAACCTTCTCGTCGCCTATCAGCAAAGAAATATATTATACATATATACAGGTTTCCTTTAACCTATAACTACGATGTCAATATCACAAGAGCATCTCTGAGCCATCGTCCATTACGAATGACGCCGCGGCAGTGAAGCGACGACCCCAGTCAGCATGGCATGATTCCTACTCCAATCGTGTCGTGTCTACGAGCTCCTCTCGCGAATACAAGATCACCGCTTTCATTTCTCCTACCCAGCTACAGGAAGTGCAAGCTAATTGGGAAAAAATTGATACTTCTCTTCTTGGATTCAGACTTCCTTTTCCGACGTCTCACTCTCTTCATATGGTACTGAGCACTCGTCAATGAGTTGCACCTTGTCCCTTTACCAAGCCACAAATTTTTAATTTCAACACGTTGACGACAAGCCATTTTTCTCATGAATTGCGCGTGGGACGGCACATTTTTCTTCGTTGAAACTTAGTAATTTCCAAATAAATGAATTACTACAATCAAAGTCCATCAAGAAATGTGAGACGATGATACAATCTCGAATTTTTGAATTCGAATTTAGCTTGTATGGCTCCAATCTTCCAGAATCAGGACAGAAATTTTTCACCACCTAGACATATACACCATTGACGGAAATCGTCGTCAGCGTGCTGAGTGGGTATATTTTTGTTTACGGGGTCAAGCTGCCCCAGGAGACAAGTGTTTAGCGAATTCGGCTTGGCTAGATGGGCGAGACACACTCGGCAAGCTCTCCAGATCAGTGGGTTTTTTGCTACAATGTAAGATTAGGCTATCAATCCCGGGATGCAATGAGCACCTAGCTTTGATTCAGAACTGTACAAGGTGCGTTGTCTTATACAATTTCCGGCACTATTGAACTATTCCTACCCCAAAAAGCTCAAAAAAATTCTTCGCTGAAACGTTGCCTAAAGATGTAATTCGATGCGCTGATCGTGGATATAACATCCGTTTTGAGCGCTGGCGTCATTTGGCGCCATTATGCGCTGGCGCCCACCACTTTTTTCACCCAAGTCGATGAAAACTTGCATATGGGGGTTATTTGAGGTCCTGATTACGAATCCAACATTTATTTTTGACGCTGGCGGCATTTGGCGCCATTACGCGCTCATTCGGCGCTATATTGGCACATAGGCGCCAAATGGTACCAGCGCCAAAAATGAATATGGATTCGTAATCAGGACCTCAATTAACCCCCATATGCAAGTTTTCATCGACTTTGGTGAAAAAGTGGTAGGCGCCAAATTGGCGCAAATGGCGCAAAATGACGCCAGCGCTCGAAACGGACGTTATATCCGCGATCAGCGCATCGAATTACATCTAAAGGCAATGTTCAGCGAAAACTTTTTTTTGTTTTTTGGGGTAGGAATAGTTCAATAGTGCCCAATTTTCATGAAGCGATGTGTTCCCAGCCGTATAAAAACACATTTCCTGACAGACACACACAACACATACACAAAACATATAAACAACACTATAGTTCTAATCTATATTTTGCGGATTAGTAGCCTTTATCTACGCATAGCCTCATTTTCGCTACGCTAATCTCTCGTATGTTATCTACAGGGGGGAGGGTACGCAGAAAAAGTCACTTTTTACCTCAGATTGCCTGCAACGTCAGCCCCAACAGTTCCTTTGTTCCATGCTGTCATCTTGAAATAACACCTTCCTCCTGTCTCTCTCTGCCAGACATAATTGTTGTGGTCCCGAGTTACCGTCCAAAGGTCATCTGACCAGCTGTTGCACTGGTAGTTCGAGGGAGCAAAACTTACATCAACTCGAGGATCTAATGCTGAGCACAATCTCTAGTGTGGCCTCCCTCATACCCTGATGCGTAGCCTCCTGCAACTTATTCATGGAGCTTCCTCGAAGAAAATCCGTCAAACATATTCTGCCTTGCAAAAACATGTGAGGGTTTAACTAACGCCTAAACCCTTAAAGATATGTTCAGGATCACAGCCCGCCCCGTACTTGGTATTCAAGTCGATGTGCACTCAATCAGACCTTCCATTACTGTAAGTGAGATAAATTATTTAGTACATGCGCGAGACTGGTTGCATGGTCCGTTACTCCACGAGGCGTCGCTAGTAAATAGTCGCTTCTGCAGGCTGAGCAGAACGCGGACACTCGAACGCAGGTGAGAGGCCCCGTGGCAGACCGAACGAATACCCATGCTACATACCTCATGTCAGTGATGCCGAATGTTTCCACTCACAAGATTCGACAGGTTCTCACCATGGGTTCAGTGTCAGCATCCAATGTCGGCCAGTAAACCTAGCTTCGAGCGAGCATCTTCATAATCGTTGTTGTGGTTGGGCATTGTGTAGAACTGTTAGGACACGATATTGTAGTGATCTCGGTCACTATGTGGAATGCGATTAGCATTCCGCAGTGATTCCGAGACAGCTGTGTGTCTCTGCGATTGTAGTAGCGCCATAAAGAAGGGTCGCGGTTGAATTCAGGCAATTCGCCAAATTTCACGTATCCGATCACTTGCTAGACTAGCTTTCGGCTTTTGCAGCAGTGCAGATAGATTGGGCAGACACTGGAAGATGACGACAGTACTCAGTGAACTCGACAGTGACTTCGGCGTCGACGGAGGCGATCACGTAGCCTTCCGGTATTGATCAGAGCGACGCCGTGGAACTAGAGAGAGCGTGCCTACTGCCCAAAATCCTTGGTGTTGACGTATCCGATCGTGAAACTGTAGTTGAGTATTATCGGGGCCCATCGCTGAAGACGGTTGGCAGTGTAGACGGGTATTCCCAGATGGGTATAAATGGCTTGTGGTCGGTCTCCAGCGTGAAATGTCGACCGTGGACAATAGCTTGCGTGGTAGACAATCTTTTCGGATCCACTCGACAAGCGATGAGAGAAAATCGCTGAAATTCGGTTTTTGGAAGCATCGGCAACTAGACGATCGGTAGACTCCGGTCGAAATGAGTCAGTTGGAGGAAAGAGCTCAGTGTTGCCTTTATCATGTTGAAGGAACATCTGCACTCCGGCGTCTTCGTACAGAAAACATCCTTCTCCGTAGGGGCGTTCAAAAAAGCGCGTAGACTGTAGTAATCGATGAGTCTTACGAATGTGCAAAGCTGCCTGACGCCTTTTGGCGGCTTTTGATCTTGTCCATTTATGACAAACCCAAGATAGGTGACACATACCTGCAGAAAGGTACATTTGCATGCCACGCTTCATTCCAGAAGGCAGTCGACTGAAATGGTAAAGAGCGGTGTGTGTTCACTGCCAGCAGTTCCTTGGTTCACTTTCACTTCGGCAAAATTGGTTGTGAGAAGTAGCGTCGACCTTTGAGTTTCACCACAATGTCGCCTGGACCTTGAAGTGGGTGCTGGTGTTGTTTCAGCGCATCGTTCAGTCCGGTCGAGAAGTCTGCGCAGAGTCCAACCAGAGCACATCACGCGTTGGGGATTTTGATCGAGCCCCGTACGACCTCTCCCCACCTCCCTTTCTGCATTTCGTTGTTTTTCGACGCTTTTAGTTGCATTTCTTTTTCGGAAACGTAGGTGGAAGAAAACCAATCTTATGCTAATTTCCTCTGGCTTCTTAGCGTCTTCCATCATTCCAATCCATCTTCCATCACACCATCCGAATTTGTGTAGGAATGAAACTTCGTAGGTTCACAGAAGAATATTCAACAAAACTGCATGTGTTACTTCAGCTTCAATGAGAGGCCATAAGGCCGAAATATAAAACAGATGGAAATGACGAGATTCGTAACGGTTATTTGCTTTTTTCTACCATTGCTATGTTACGTGAGGCTACGTTAAATTCTTTAACCATCTTTTCGGACTTTCAGGTTGCCAGAAGTAGTAGTAGTAGATAGGAGAAGAGATTGTTGTGTTGTGTGTGTGTTGTGTGTGTGGCGGTGGTGTATGTGTGTGCCGTGGGTTGACCTGTTGTGTGTGGATCCTGCGCAACACAGGATAGTGTGCGCCTGGCAACTCTAATACCGTTGTGTTCAATTTCTGGCGCGCGCGACGAGAAAAAATTTCAAGGGCATCCGTATTTTAAATACTGAAATGAAGCCCTTTGCGTTTGGAGCGCATTTTGCTAAGCGCCTGAAGTCACCGTCGGGGCAAAGCGAAGAAACGCGACTGTAGGAGCTTGGATTGTGAGCTTCCTGAAAAAGTACTTGAAAGTGTCAAAAAGGCTATGCCTGATTCAACGGGAGATTTTTCAGGACGAGATTTTCTTGCCGAGTTATTCTGGTTTGGAACGACGGCCAAAGTCTCCCAGGCAGCATGTTTGCAAACCACGACGACAATATTGAAAAGATGGAGAAGGAGTTCCCTTCCCAGAAGCACTCAGGGTCTCTTGAAGTTCGCCGGGTTTATGAGTTGAACGTCGTTGAGGATTCACTGAGGCAAGCTCCGAGCAGCGCGAAAACCCGTTTTCTTGTGTATCGTTCTGAGCTGGGCGTATTTGAAACACTCAAAGAGTGCGTCTAGAACGGATCGTAGTGAAACAAAAAGGTAGCGCAGTGGCTTAGCTCCCATTTGATTTCATTCTCTAGATACGGCATGTCATTAGGCCCCTGGCAGAGCGTAGTGGTGCAACTTCGACGAAATGTACAGCTCGTGATCCTCAGACGAGCTAGGCCGTAATTGCGTACTTCACTGAGAGCAACGGACGGCTGCAATCGGCGGTGGCGGCCGTTGCTGCACGGGGGCAGCAATCACGGCGGTCCTCTGCTCTCTGCGCCACCTCTCCACGAAACCGCGCCTCTCAGCGTACTCTCCTTCTCTGCGCTCTGTCCGCAATAGCCGGCTGCACCGCGCAATCAGCTGATTCCACAAATTTATTTTTTATCTGAACTATTATTCTGTTTCCTGAACGCCAGAAAAGCGAGGTAAGTTCATATTATTTACTCTAATTTCAAGTTTTATTGTATATTTTGCTTTTAGTCGCTATTTGACTGCCGTAACGGTGTTTTTACCCACTTTTTGATTTAGTTTAGTTTCTTTGTTTGTACTTTGAATGTTGGACTGCTCTCCATGACAGTGTCGTTATGGGTCCTCGTTAGTGCCAAGGACTCTCTCTGACACTGTTTTTGGTAGATGCGGTCTTTCCGAAGGAAGAATGAAAAACGAGCAAGCTCACAGGGTGACAGAAATTAGGTAGCGGCAAAAAAATCGATAAAGTGGCATTTCAGAAAGACAGCATCTACCAAAACAGTGTTAGAGAGTGTCCTTGACACTGATGAGGACACATAACGGCACTGCCATGGAGAGCAGTCCAACATTCGAAGCACAAACAAAGAAAAACCTAAACAAAATCGAAAAGTAGGCAAAAACACCGTTACAACAGTCAAATAGCGACTAAAAGCGAAACATACTATAAAACCTTAAATTAGGGTAAATATTATGAACTCACCTTTCCTTTTTGGAGCATCGGCCGCCACCCCTACTGCAGCCGCCGTCGCGTCCCAGTGAAGTACGCAATTACGCCTAGCCCGTCTGAGGGATCACGACTGTATGTCCACGCAAGCAGATGTGTGCATAGGGTGCAGAAACATACACGGCCTACCCACGGACCTGGTAAACTTGTACTGTTCAGTCATTTACGTCTCAAGAATTTGTGTTAATTTATTTATATGCTACTTAATCATTTAGATTTTCTGTAGTGCTACTGACACTATTGCGCTGTTTGGTGTTGACTGCCCTTCTCATTACGACCCCCATCTCAGCGGTCAGATACGACCCCCCTCCCTACTGGGGAACCTCCACCGATGATGTGCCCTAAGTTGAATCGATCCGTTCTTTTGCACGACGACGACGGCTGCGGCCCATTCTATGTGATCGATGGGCGTCAGAACTTGAATAGATAGAGGCGATCGATCTCGGTCAAAATGTTTGGCTAGCCGCGTAGGGCGAGCCCTCAGAAAAAAAGGCTCCGCTGCAGGCTTCAACACATGTTTCACTGCTGATTATCTGTTGAAAGGTCTCAGTCTGGGTGTAAAGGCTACTGGAATCGTCCTCTTGAGGCGCGTGAGAGAGTTCAATGTGAATGTGAGCTTCTTTGAAGATATGTTGTGGAATGTTCCTTCCGTTGGCCGACGGAGCAACCGCTCGTGAGCGATCCTGTTTAGACCCAATGGCGTGTCGGCTACGTAATAGGTAGCTGCTCGCCCTAGGTGACCACTGATGATGAAGTTGCAGTCGTAGCGACCTTGAAACGTGTCGAGCTTGTCAACGGCAGACTTCAGCGACAGTCGAGGAGGCTGCGTCTTCGGACGACCAGCAGCGTTACAGTCTCTTTGGCTTAGTAATGTAAGGATCATCGCTCAGTGTCGAGTTGCCATGCGTATCGACTTTCCATCTATTTCCACCGGAAGAACAAACGCGCTAATCAAAGCGCTTCAGCATGAATCAAAGCGACACTCACGTTCGTTGGCAGATCTAGCTTCCCTTGCAGCTTATGCTCCCCGGGATGTATTGGTGGACTTCGCAAGAGGTCACGGCTTCCATGTTTCGTTCGCCGCGCGCTGTGATAGCTGCTGCGATTGGACAAGACCCATACAATCGTGCGACTAAGATCCTGGGCCCTTCACATCGGTTCCTGGAATCTTGCCAACCTGCTTGGCATTTCGCCAAGTCGCCAGAGTAGTCAACCTGACAGCAGTGTTTTTCAAAGGATTGCTGTATCTCTTTAATACTATCCTAATTCCTGTCGGCCTTTGTTTTCTTTACTTGATCAGTGTCACTTTGCTTTGGACCGTTTTTTGTCTTATTATGTTGTTTCCTTTTGTACATTTGTTAGTGCTTCGGTTTTTGTTTTGTGGATTTCTTCCACGTATATTTTTGGTCCCTGCAGTGCGCTATCCTGACTTTTATTCTTTTTTTTCTTCAACACTTTCTTCTTCACTGCCTCATTTCGGCATAGGGAATCTTTGTGAGCGTCGATTGACTGACCTTTTTTCGCCCAGTGAAGAAAATGAGTTAGCGGCAGAGCCACTGATTACCTATAATCAATGTATGGCTAATGTTTAATGCTAATTATTATTATATTATTGTATGTTATTATTCTGGCGCTATTATTATTATTATTATTATTATTATTATTATTATTATATGATATTATTATTATTATTATTATTATTATTATTATTATTATTATAGTTACTTAGGACTTACTGGCCAATTGTTTTTTGCTTTTTTCATGTTACTGCAACAGATGTCGTTTATGCTGTTTGTGTTGTTACACTGATAGTTGAACATCGGGCCCCACTTTTTCATAGGTTTCGCACCCGCATATAATAAAGCAAAGCGATGGAAATGTAACGGACGGACGCAAATGCCGTGCACATAGCCGCGCGGCCCCCCTCTCCCCCGCCGCGCCGCGGCGGCAGGCTGACCTTGGTGGAGTCCTCATCGTTCCCCCCCCTGCTTCCTCTTGCTCGTGAAGCTTGCACAGTTCTGGATCTCAGCGGTGGACTCCTTCAGCGTGTTCTTGGATTGCCCTCCGTCGCGCGCAAAGCAGTTGTATGGATGGCGGCATCCTCGGACGCGACCACTCCACATCCATACCAAACATTTCATTTGCTCAGGCGTAACTGTCGTTACGCATGAGAAAATGAAATGTCTGGTATGGATGTGGAGTGGCTCCTTCAGCGTGTTCTCGGATTGCCCTCCATCGCGCGCAAAGCAATTGCATGGATGGCAGCACCCTCGGAAGCGACCACTCCACATCCATACCAAACATTTCATTTCAGGCGTAACGTCGTTAAATTCAACCAATGCGCGGCTCTGGTTGATCGTTCGCGTGAGGTCATAGAGGTTCCCTCCACCTTGTTAAGCCTCCAGGTGAACAAAGCGCCTGGCGAAAACTGCGTATTGAGGCTAAATACTCCTTCAAGATTGCGACAGTGTCCTCTAAGAGAACGTCGCACGTCGTTCTTGGAATGATGTAGTTTGAAAATCGAGCGACGTGACGGCGTCGAGTTCGGGACGATTAACCCAGCATTTACTGCCTAGTCTAGCATGGCACCATCCTTTGCGATGCCATAACATCGATTGTACACACCCCAATAACAGTCGTTGTCCGGATAGCAAATGAACTTAGGTACGCGCGACGAAAGAGACTTCGTAACAAACTCGGCCACTGAGAGAGAAGCTGATAAGTGCTAGAGCGTGAAGACGCGGCCATACCT